CCCAGGTCCTCACCCATGATGCTCTGAGGCACATCAGCACATCTACATTAAGAATTCCCAGGAGCAGGTGGCTCAGTTGGTTAAGCATCCAATTCTTGGTTTCAGCTCAGGTCATGATCCCATGGGTCATGGGATCGAGCCCCACCTTGGGCTCCATGCTCAGTTGGGAATCTGCTTGAGATTCTCTCCCTCTGCCCCTTCCCCTGCTCTCTCTCTTGTTCTCTCTCTCTCAAGATAAATAAATCTTAAAAAAAAAAAAAAAGTTCCCAGAGGAAGGCTGGTTTTTACATGTCAATCCAGAAAATTTCTTACTCAGTGACATGTAAACCTACTCTCCTAATATGCCAAAGATTGGATATTTCCATTCTCTCTCAAGATAAACTTCATCTTCTCTAAAACAAATTGCAATGGTTAAGATGTGGATTATGGAAAAAAAAAAAAAAAGATGTGGATTATGGGGGGGTGGGCAGCACCTGGCTGGCTCAGTTGTATAGCACTCGAGTCTTCATCTCAGGGTCATGAGTTCAAGCCCCACAATGGGCAGAGAGTTTACTTTAAAAAAAAGGAAAAAAACGAAGAAGAAAGAAAAAGGTAAAAAAAAAAAAAAAAAGATGTGGATTATGGTAAGAAAACAAAAGCTCTCACAAAGACACAGGCAAAACCTAAGAGAGTCACCAGCTACTGACTTGCCTTCTCTTGTATTACAGATTGAATGCCTTCAATTAGCACCCAGAGACAATATGTGGTGGTTAAGCAAGCAGCATCAGCACCAAACCACCTACGTTTGAATTCTGGCTCTGCCACATTAGCTCTGCCTAAGCTCTGCCTAACTGGTTTTTGGCAAGTTACTTAAAACTCTCTGTACCTCAGTTTGCACATCTGTAAAAAGGGCATCATAATAGAATCTTCCAGGGCTGTGGTGAAGAGTAATCGAGATAACGCAAAAAGTATCTAACAAAGAGCCTGGCACACAGCTACAGCTCTATGTTAACCACTATCTTTGTACCTAGAATTATTCTCAAGCATCCTGTGCTTGGCCTAACTTTAAGATTTAAAATTTCATTCCAAATATTTTTTTAAATTGTTTAAATATAAATTTGCAGTGGAAAAATCACTATTACCAAAATCTACATTCTACATCAAAGTTATGCCTTAGCAGGAGGGGCAAAAAGGAACTCCCTACATTCTTTGTTCTTATCTGAGTTCTTCAAGGGAAAAATAAAAGTTATAATGTAAGAAGGAAGAACACTTGGTTATCACAATCCACTTAAGGTACAGTTTAGGCACATCTATCTAATTCCTTAAAAAGACAAAAATAAATGAAAAATAACTGCTTATCACATTTGCAATTATTTTAATTGTAGCTCTGGCATGATGCCCAGCTCCTACATCAGACCTAGGTCTGTAAAAGCAGGAACTATCCTTGTCCATCTTGTATACAAGGTAATACTACCCAGTGCACAACTGGTACTCAATAACTACTTTTTGAATGAATAAATGTGCTTTGTAAAATACAAAATCCCATCATGGTTCTTGGTTTGGCAACTAGCCAAAGCTAATCTCCTTTATCTGTGTTTTAAACAAATAAGCTACCCTTTCTGTTTGTTCTGACCCGCACTATAGAAAGTGCCTCCACAGAGTAAAATAATCTTCACATTCCTCAGTAATCATGGTCCCTGATTATTCCAGTTAAGAATATATGTCTAAAACCATCTCTTGTTAATGCAATACAGGAAAGCCATATAATTGTTCCTATCCCTCCGAATTAAAAATCAGCTTTCAATTACTTTTTTTCCTATTGTTTTTCAGATATCTTTGAAATTTTTCTTTCTGCACACAAGAGCTTACAGATATACAGAGTAGGGAGGTCCTTAAAAGTCACCTAAGACAACAGCCCCACAGGCGCCTGGGTGGCTCAGTTGGTTAAGCGACTGCCTTCGGCTCAGGTCATGATCCTGGAGTCCCGGGATCGAGTCCCACATCTGGCTCCCTGCGTAGCAGGGAGTCTGCTTCTCCCTCTGACCCTCTTCCCTCTCGTGCTATCTCTCATTCTCTCTCTCTCAAATAAATAAATACAATCTTAAAAAAAAAAGACAACAGCCCCATTTTCCAGATGCCTCCAAAGAAAATCACATTTGAAAGGAAGCCCCATAGTCAACATCCTTCATTAAGCCTCGAGACAAAGGTAACAAATCAAAACTTTAATAATATTCAGAAAAGGGGGAGGTGTACATCCACCAGCACCTGCCTACACAGAAAGGCCTACGTGGATGCCCCAGTTCTCCCAAGCAAGGAGTAGTTCTAAATTAATTAATTCATTCAACAGACATGTTTGAGGGCCTCTGGTGTGGTGGACACTATTCTAGGTGCCTGAGATACATCACTGAACAAAAAGAAAGATCACTGCCTGTGCCATACCTACATTTTAGGCAAAACTTTGGAGGCATCTAGGAGAATAAAGAAAACATTTTAATAGAATATGTAGGGCCAGAAGCGTTCCATAACACCATGGAGATCGTTAAGCTCATGGTTCTCAAACTTGGGTGTTCTGAGAACCACCCAGAGGACTAATCAATACTCAGAAGGCCCAAACCCACCCCAGAGCTTCCGATTCATTAAGATCTCAACAGGGCCTGAGAATTTGCATTTCTAATATGCTCTCATACAATGTCAATGGTGCTAGTCCAGGAAGCAAACTTTGACAACCACTGACTTGGCCAGAACCACAGGCTACTCAATACCAGGCCCAGATTTAGGGTTTTTTTTTTTCCCTTCTGACTCCAAACTGACAAGCTTTTATCCACTTAAGGCAAACACTGCCCAATGAAAAAGGTTTTTTAGCTTTATGTTTGAGTTGGAGAAAATCAGAAATGAACGTTTTAAGTATAAAATACCTTAAGCAGACAGCACTGATCACTAAACATGGACATAAAAATTAACATTAGAGGATTTGTTCTTTCTTTCACATATCTAAATGCCATGATAAAAGAATGCTTTCCCTAAAGGGTTTTATCACGAGGGTGAGGTTCAGTCTCAAATGAGCCTATTTATTAAAAAAGTCTATTAACTAGAAGTATATACACTAAAATATAAATAAGTGATTGGATTTAGTTTTTTGTGCTAATTGTATTTTCTAAAATTTTTACAATGAACATAAATTCCTTTTGTAATAAAGGAATACAAGTTAATTTATTTTAAAAAAGAAGTGACAGTGTTTATTCAAAAAGACTTTTAATTAGAAAACTATAAAAGGCATCAGTTAATATACCACATAAATTAATACTGAATGATTTTTTTTTCCTAGTACATAATTCAAATAACTTCTTTTACAATTTTACGCTAAACCTCTGTCTGGATTAATGATTAATACCAGTGAAGGAAAAAAAAAAATCCTTGAAATGTATTTGATTTTATTTAAACAAAGAGAATAAAACAAAACTATGATCCTTTAAATAGCTGCATAAAAATCAAATTTACTATTATTCTACATAGCAACTGTCTTTTGTCTTGACTGTTACTTTTCAACAAATGTATGGATGTGATGCTAATTCTTGCAAATAAAGCAAAATGTCATGTGTCAATTATGCCAATTAAAAAAAGAAAGTAAAAATGGCTTTAATTGCATTTCTTGAAAAATAAATAAATAAACGTCTAAGTTTTGGAAAAATAATCGTTGTATCCTCGATGTGTACAAAGTTAGAGAGCCATATCCCTGAGGATACCAAGGTAAGACCTACACCATCCCTGTACCCCATCCACCATCTTTCTGGATCTCCTAGTCTAGGGAAATACTTCTTTATTACTAAAGTCCACATTTCAGGGATACAACTAGAGTTTAAAACATAATATGCTAAAGGGCAATGACTAAAGGAGAATCAATTTGGTGAAGAAATCAAGTGTCTTTATAGAGACACATGCTTACCATTTAACAAAAGTTCTGAACTACCTCTTAAAGTCTAGCCTATTTCATTAGAATAATCATTTTAAAGGAAAAAAAATTGCCTGTATGTGTTATATAGAATCATAGCTAATTTTCTGAAAATTAGGCCTTAAAATCAGAATTCAGTTATCATACTACTACTAACTTACGAGGTACCCACAAAGTACCAAACACTTTAAATCCTCTCATTTGATCTCCAAACCACCCTATGAAGTATGACCATTTTACAGATTAAGAAATTTAAGCACAGAGTGATCAAGTAATTTGCCCAACGTCATACAGCTAAATTGAAGATCCAGGATACAGATATCCAAGCCATAATACTTAAACTGAGATCCTTAACCTTTGGCTCCAGTTATGGTTCTGCTTATGTTTGACTTACAAATTTTTTACATTTTAGAAAATCAAAACTAAATTTTTCTTGCCAGTCATATTTGACAATATCTGTAAGATGAAAAATTATGAAATTCAGGCACTTTCACAAACCTCTGTACTTCTAAAATCATACACAATTTACAATAAATGATACAGTACAGAGATCTGACAACTTTTCCACCAGCATGGCCATTTTAGGGATACAGCAGTGGTAAAATTACGGAAATCCCGCATTAAATCGCGCAGGGGTTCCATTGAGTGGGTAAGGAAGGTTTTTATCTTGTTTTATTTGGGTTGTTTGTTCGTTTTGGGGGCTTGAGGGGTTTTTTTGTTTTGTTTTTTGGGCTTGGGTTTTGGTTTGGTTTTTTGGTTTGGTTTGTTTTTTGCAACCAGGGAGCTAGAAGGTGAACGAATTAAGCTGGAAAATGAAAAAGTAGAATCCTTTCCTATGTCTTCCGTTGACCACATAAGGCCTGGGTGCCAGTGTGCACAAGAGTTCCTGAGTCTGGGTGGACCGGCCTTTGCTCAGGGTGGGTGCGTACGGAACGGCCGCCGCCTCCCGTCCGGGCAAGCACCCCCGGCGGCCGACGCCAGGGCACCAGGCGAGGCGAGCCCAGCGAGAGGCGGAGGGCGGGGGGGTGCGAGGCGATGCAAACGGTACGGGGACAACCCGCGGGGCCCTTACCCAGCTCCGTGCCCCGGTTGCGCGCGGACATGGTGCGAGCAGCTGCAGCAGTCGCCGGCTCCTCAGCGCCAAGCTCCCCTCCGCCCCGCCCTTCCTGCTTCCCGCCCGCCCGCGGCGTCGCCGCGCTCGCCCCGCCCCTCTCCCTCTGGGGGCGGGGCCGCGAATCGCGGCCCGGTGGTCTGACTCCGCCCCGCGGCCCTGCGTAGAAATCCTGCCGCCGCTCTCCTGCCCTCTTCCCCGAGGTGCGAGTCTCGAGTCCTGGCTCCCGAAATAATGCTATCAAAACCCGTTTTAAAATGCTTGAATTGCCAAATGCACTGAATAAAGACGTTTGGAAACTTTTCACTTTTAAGATTAAGTAACGAGAGGGGAGAGAATCCCTCCCAGTTACTGACCAAGTGCAGAGCTCTGCAGCCCCATACCTGAAGGGCAGCGGTGATCCCCTCGCCGTGTAAGGGCGGCCAGCGAGCAAATAGGGCTCAGAGCACTCGTGACTGTAAACTGGACCTCATGAAGTGAAGCAGCTCCGTTGCCGCGGGGCGGGGAGGGGGGCTCTAGGAGTGAGAAGTCCGGTTTCTCAGCATAGCACTGACAATAATTAAGTGGGACACTGGGCACATCAATTGCCTTTCTAAGCTTCACTTTCCTCATCTCTAAGAAATGACCTTGACAATTTCTTGGAGCTCTAAACTTTGAATCTGTGATACTAACATTTTTTCAGCCTAACTCTTCTGTAACCAGGAGGTTAAAATTGTCCAGAGTCACTCAACATAGACCACTAGTCAACTCATCTCTCCTCACAGAGGTACCTCCACTCTGTAGGGAGAAAGAAAACGCAGTTGTGGCTTGTCCACCGTAAGCCAGTCACTGTGCGAGGTGCTTTTATTTTTTTGTTAAAGGTTTATTTGTTTGAGAGAGCGCGCGCATGAGAGAGTGTGAGCAGGAGCAGGGAGGAGAGGCAGAGGGAGAAAGAGAGAAGACTCCCTGCTGAGCAGGGAGCCCCATGTGGGGCCTGATCCCAGGACCCTGAGATCATGACCTGAGCCAAAGGCAGACGCTTAACCAACTAAGCCACCCAGGCGCCCCGCTAGGTGTTTTTTTTTTTTTTTTTTAAGATTTTATTTATTTATTTGACAGAGAGAGATAGGGAGAGAGGGAACACATGCAGGGGGAGTGGGAGAGGGAGAAGCAGGCTTCTCGCCGAGCAGGGAGCCCGATGTGGGGCTCGATCCCAGAGATCATGACCTGAGCTGAAGGCAGACGCTTAACGACTGGGCTACCCAGGTGCCCCCCTCTAGGTGCTTTTAGATGTATAATAGCATTTCAGTCTCAGAACAATCCTGCCAAGTATGTATTATATCTCCATTGCTATACCTGCAGACACCAAAGTTCTGAATAAAGAGGCATCCTGGTATAGTGGCAACTGAGTAGGTTCGGAAAGGTTCAAACCCCTTAATATACTAGCAATTCCACTTAATAACTAGGTAGTTCCAGGAATGTTACTTTCTACTTGTCTGGAAAATGCAGAGATCAAAATACATATGCCTTGCAAAGCTGTTGAATGTGTGTAAAGCACCAAAGAAAGGTTATTGCATGTAGCAGATGCTCAACAAATGAAAGCTGTTAATGTTGTCAGGTTCACAAAACAATTATGGGGCTAAAAAGGAAAAGTGATTCCAGTCTTATTACCGTACACTGAGCTGTTTCTCTGCTTTGTCAAGACATAGCTATTGCTCAGTATTTTGAATGTGTCCAGATTCTACTCATTCATATGATAGCATTTTTCCTTTATTTTTATTTTAACCCTGAAAAAGCAAAAAACAGACCCTGGCAGTCCGGAGCCCTTGCAGCTAGACCATGGTGCTCCCAAATAAAACATCAACAACTTCACAGAACATCAACATCAGCCAAGGTCACTGTAACCGTGATGAATCAACAAAAATAAGACCACACGTAATCCTGTTTGAATACAGAAAAAGGGCGCCTGGGTGGCTCAGTTGGTTAAGCGACTGCCTTTGGCTCAGGTCGTGATCCTGGAGTCCCAGGATAGAGTCCTACATGGAGCTCCCTGCTCAGCAGGGAGTCTGCTTCTCCCTCTGACCCTCTTCCCTCTCGTGCTGTCTCTCATTCTCTCTCTCAAATAAATAAATAAAATCTTTAAAAAAAAAAAAAAAAGAGGGCGCCTGGGTGGCTCAGTTGGTTAAGCGACTGCCTTCGGCTCAGGTCATGATCCTGGAGTCCCGGGATCGAGTCCTGCATCTGGCTCCCTGCTCGGCGGGGAGTCTGCTTCTCCCTCTGCCCCTCCCCCTCTCATGTACACTCTCTCTCTCTCTCTCTCTCTCATTCTCACTCTCTCAAAATAAATAAATAAATCTTTAAAAAAAAAAAAGAATACAGAAAAAAACATGAACATGTCCAAACCACAAAAATGACAAAAACAGTTCCTATCCTGGCTAATGTAATTAACTGTCACTTCTTTACCCATCAGCTTTAACCTAACCTGGCAATTCTTGTATTTTAAATAAGAATTAAGATGCCCTGTCATGAATTATCACCACTTCCTGCCAGCATCCAATCCAGAGTAATGTTCTGCTTCCTTGAACCTTCTCCAAATCATGTAGCATGAGCTCAAATCCTATGTCATTTCTAACACTCTCTGAGACAGCTCACAGTGGTGAGTGTTCTTCCTTATTCCAATAAATCAATAAACCCAGACTTATCCAACTACAGGTGTGTTCCTGTGGTCAGCTAGAAAGCCCTGACATCCCTAAGAGATACAAAGACAATAAACGGAATTTTGTTTTTAGGGGCAGATACAATTCTAAGCCAGATTCTAAGCCATTTGTTATACATCCACATATAATGTAAACTTATTTAAAACAAAAAAAAAGCAGTGTCCTAACTTAGTTAAAACACCAGAATCAGGGCAGCCTCCGACAGCAGACATTTTAGCAATGTATTTTTTTTTTTAAAGATTTTATTTATTTGACAGAGAGAGACACAACAAGAGAGGGAACACAAGCAGGGGGAGTGGGAGAGGGAGAAGCAGGGGGAGTGGGAGAGGGAGAAGCAGGCTTCCCACGGAGCAGGAACCTGATGCAGGGTTCGATCCTACGACTCTGGGACCATGACCTGAGCTGAAGGCAGACACTTAACGACTGAGCCACCCAGGCGCCCCTAGCAATGTATTTCTGACAAAAATTTCTCAAGGACTTTTTCTAAAATTAACGTGTTGCTAATACTAATCTGGAATTAATCTCTACAGTTTGAAAATAAGTTAAATTGTCAGGATTCAGAAGGATAGTAGGGATAGAATGCAAAATGTAAGTTTTTTTGTGTGTTTTTGTTTTTAAAGATTTTTATTTATTTAACAGAGAGAGACACAGTGAGAGAGGGAACACAAGCAGGGGGAGTGGGAGAGGGAGAAGCAGGCTTCCCGCGGAGCAGGGAGCCCGATGTGGGGCTCGAACCCAAGACCCTGGGATCATGACCTGAGCCGAAGGCAGACACTTAACGACTGAGCCACCCAGGCGCCCCAGGGTTTTGTTTTGTTTTTTTTTACTTTTTATTTACTGTTTTAAGTAAGCTCTGTCCAACATGGGGCTTGAACTCACAACCCTGAGATAAAGAATCGCATGCTCTACCAACTGAGCCAGCCAGGCACCCCATGAAAAAAAAATTGATGGAGAAGTGTTAACAAGTTTCATTTCGTGAATTTCTTTTTAAACTTATTGCCTTCTGAAACTTTTGAAGTATCCCTAATGCAAGGCTTCTCAAAGATCTGTAGACCACCACTACTACACTGGAATCTCCCAAGAGATTTTTTCTAAAGCAGATTCTAGGCTTCACCACAGCCCTACTGAATTGGAATCTCTAGGATCCTGGAATCCTTATTTTTAACAAGTTCCTTCAAAGAAATCATCAACCTAGGGGCAGAGAAGAGTAAACCATGCATGCCAATCTGGAGTTATGGCCCAAACTGGTTCTTACATGAGTAAAACTTTCAAGTATTGTTATTTTTTTTAATCCATGCAAATTTTGTTATTCCTTTTTTAATATAACTTTTAAATTGCTAGATAAATTACCTCTCTTCCCATTCCCATTCCTTCTTCAGTTAAAATTAAAGCTCTAGGAATCTATCAAGAACCTAGAAGGCCTGGGAGTTAGAAGTAATTCAACTGTTAACTTCCAAAGGGCATGGACCCTTTGTGTTTGGTTCTTCATATGCCTAGGGTCTAGTGGAGTCATTGTCACATAGTAATTACATGTCTTTGTTAGATGAAGACCTACCTGGCTGAGTTTTTCCATATGTGCTACCATATGTGCTACCAAAAGGGGAAACCGGTGAGTGAGTGTTGAGTCATTCTCTGTGTTAACTTGTTTAACAATTGACCTTAGTAGTACTTCTCCATCGTACGCAATAGGGAAGATAGAAGTCAGCTTAACAGAAGTGTGGCACAGAGCTGACATAACAGCCGCAAGCAATCGGCTACCTGAGGTCTTGAAAGTTTGCTCCTTGGATATCCTTTTAAAAACAGAAATATGCACCCACCAAAGAAATATGGCATCAAATTAATCCACATTTTTAGGTATACAAAAGGTAAACAACTTTTTAAATTATTCCAAAATTTTCTAGGATTCATTTTAATTGTCATGTTATGGGATTTCATTCTATCAATACTTTTAAACACAACTGTTCAAGTTACTACCCAACGAAGATGAAAAATTATTAAATATGGTCAAGAAAAAGCAGCCTCCTATTTTCCAACCAATGACTTTATATATCCTCAGAATCACAGTCCTCTTTAGCATGATGCTCAAAGAATGACATCAAAAAGGCCCCAATCAGTATATATCCATGTCCGGTAAAACAAGCACTGAAACCACTTTCTTTCCAATAACAAATGATTTAAATTGTAATTGGGTGCTACTATAACATTTCACTAATGGTAATGTAGCATAATGAATAGCTACTATAATAAACATTTTGCTAAGGTCACAAAATTATGTCATCATATTATATAGTTTATTCAGAAAAATAAGTAGCATGCTTGTAAATTCTTTTTAAATTTTATTTA